TCTAACTTTCAAGTCTGTGGATGAAACCCTAGCATGTGACCATTCAAATGAAAGCTATTGAGCAGTACTTTCATGTGGTACTGTTTATTATGCTGCACTTTGGTAAGGTGGTTATTTCTTTCAGTTCTCAGGATGAAACGTTACCTTCTGAATCTAATTACTACTTTTTGTCCTGTGTTGAACTTAAACACTCAACTGTTTCTTGCTCTGTTTTAAACAGTCATACGAGCCAAAGTCCTTTCTGAGACAACCGAAGAGCCCCGGCAGACCGAATCACCAGAGACAGCTCTGTGGGAACACATCCCCGAGGAATTCATACAAGAGCAAGTCTACACCTTGAGAGTACTCAAGATATACAAGGGGGGCCTGGAAATTAATAATACGGAGGGAGTGAACGTCTACGGATCGAGACAACGGACCCTGCAAGCAAAGTTGTACACCCCGGCGCGCGCCTCATCCTGTCACGTGCCCCTGCGTAACGGCACGGTGTATCTGCTGACAGGGCAGATCCTTAACGGAAGGATGCGGACTGGCGGCTGCAAATGGCGGACGGAGTGGTCTTCTATCACGCGCAAACAGCGCGCCGGAATCAGACGTTTTTACGGCGAGAATTGCATGTGCCAGGTCGGTATGTGTTTCGGAAGTAACTGCAATAAGATGCTTAAGGGCTGCGAGAAGGTGGAATGGCGGGCCCCAATGAAAGAAAGTTGTAAGAGGAGAGAATCTTACTGTATGAGGGACTGGAGCGACAACACGTGCGCGTGGAGGATATCAGATGACTACAAAAAGTGCCTCAAGAAAATCCCGTGATACCTTGCGGTCGGAGTAATTTTAAAACGACCCAAAGAAATCTTCTATCGAGCGGACAGCGAAACGCAAATCGGTTTGTACGAGCTAACAGTAAATGCGTAAGATATTTTGCAAAAGAGACATAGTTTACCGTTAACATTATTTGTCGCGAAGTACTTTCACGTCCATTGTTGCCCTTCGATTTACGGCGCGCCACTCTGAACTTGTTTGTGGCGACGAGCTGCAAGCTATATGGTTGTTTAGATGAATTTCTTTATATATAAAACATTTTACGGTGCAAAACTGAATTTCGAATGCAGCACAACGAGTATTATCGCTATTTGAAGTCATTTTGCAACTGAAAAGTATATGCAGAGTTGAACTTAGGAATAACACTTACTTTTTCAGCGTTTTGGTAGGCATTTCACAGCCGATAATCGTTAATTATGCGCTCGTTTTCAGACTAAAATGAATTAATATAAGTTACTTCAGCGTGCCAAAAAAAAAATGCTGTAATAATGCCATTTACTTATAAAAAGGCATCCTTAACGCCAAACTTAAGACTAAACTTTAGAGCCCTGGCCAAACGGACTCGCAAGTAGTCGCAAGCAGCCGCAAGTTGAAATTGCGTAGAGAGTTGCGTTGGGTGGCTAAACGGACTCGCAAGTTTCCTCGCAAGTACCCGCAAGTCGCTATAAAAACCCATTTCAAGTCCGAAATATCCTGTATTTCATTGGCTAATAATAGGTTACCGGGACGTCTCTCAATTTGCGTTGACTTGGGTTGAGTGGCAAAACGGTGAAAAACTGGCGTCGACCTGCGTGCAAATTTGATCTCGACCAAAGCGAGCGTAGGTCATCGCAATTCAACGCAAGTGCACGCAAAACCTGGCCAAACGGAGTCGCAAGTAGACCCAAGTTTTCAACTTGCGTCTACTTGCGAGTACGTTTGCCCAGGGCTTACGCGTTCTTCTGTCGAGAGAAAAGGCTAATTTAAGTTAAGTTAACTTTCATTTCGCGAATTACAACTATAGAGCAAAATGTTCAAATGTTTCGATTTTTTCTTGAAGTGGCACCGACATATATGTTTCAAAACGACTTAAAATCTTGCCAGTCTCCTTTCCTCTATCATTTTGACGACTAGCACATGAGTTGTGCTTCGAAGGAAAGCAATCGAGCTTTTTACATTATTTTTGCCGACAGTAGCTTTGCGAGTGATTTGTTTCAGTTTTCAGTAGGATTTGCGCAGATATAGTTCAAATGAATTTTGCTAGTTAGTTTCGCAGGCAAAAACTGCTTCTACACAAAATAAATACTTTCGAAGTGGAAGGTTTTACGAAGGGCCAACTTTGGACAGTGAATATTAAGACTATTGCGAACACAGTTAGAATTGACATCTTAACGTGTTGTTCATAATTATCAAAAATATATGTGTTCATTTAAGAACACCAAATGTACGTCTTTAAGACGAATTAGTTTGAGAACATGAAACTACAGTTTCTTGTTCGACTTGTTCCTGGCAGGCGCATGTTTATTTTATATCGTTGTTGTATAAGATATGTATTATGCACTTTGAATAAAAAGTATGCATGTTCAGAGAAAAGAGGAGTGATTAATTTTTGATTCTAATCAGTATCTTTGTGCTACTTGTTCTTTCTGCATTGCATCTTACGATGAAAAAGCTTTTTTTAAGTGTCAAATGGTACTTGTTCTGTGGAAGTTTTTCGCTTGGACTTTCTGCAGCATATTGAAGGAGAGCCAGGCCCGAAACATCTGTTAAACAAGTACTATTTGACACGAAAAGAGCTTTTTCAGACTTTTATATTTAGAAAAAGTCTGTCAGACCTTTTCAATCTTGTGCATTCGTACTGACTTTTTATAACACTCCTTTAATAGCTTTAGTGCACTTAGACAGCAATTTGGAACAAAACTGGACCATTATTTCCACCGACGAAAATGTGTCTTAGATTTTGATCTTTGAAGTCACTCTCATGTGCGTTTAACAATGCTAAACTCAATGTCAAGGTTCTACTCATTAGTGGTAATAAAAGATCTCATGTTTCATTAATCCAATTTGTGCAAAACACCCTTAATAAAATAAATATACGGTAAGCAATTAGGGGCTTAAAATTGTTTTCCTGCAGTCTCGGAATTTTAATCACGGCGTTGAAACGTGAAAAAAATTCTGTCTTTCACAGTATGTAGTCTTGATTCAACCCTTCAAGTCGTTTGCAGACAATCTGCCGAACATTTGTATGTCTGAAATTCTGGTTGATATAAGTTGTGCCGCATACGAACAAGATGTCGTAGAGAACTTCGTAATCCGATAAGATCTACCAAAGTAATAGTACAGAAATGAGCTTTTGATCATTGAAATGCTGTAACGCAAATTTGAA